CCATTTTCCAAGCTGACGTGGCAATGCCAAAAGAACAGGTACATGTACAAATGCATATCAAAATAATAAAATATTAGATGATTCTTTCTGATGTCTCTGGTGCTCTAAAAACTAGGCCTATGTGACTTTTGTATTCAAAAGGTTACAAGATTAAGTTTGCTTTATGGCATTTGTGGACACAAGTTATGTTTGGAAGATGGAAGGATATTTGTAAAGGAAAAAACATATACTATCCGACATACAAAAAATCACACTAATTTACTTCAAAATGCATAAACATCATCAATAAATTAATTAAAAGAAACTAAGTAAACATTATCACTGCTAATTCTATAGAAATTGACTATCCTACACATAAAACTACAAATAGCTTACAAAGATTGCAAACATATACATATATGTGTATATATAAATTGTTAATAAGCATTTATAATGTTAGTAGTTCTGAATTAAAAACCCTCAGTGTTAATCAAGATTCACCCTTATAACATTTTGTATATATAAGAGCAACACAAGACCAATGAGATAGATACAAGATACATTCCAGAAATCTGACTTAGGCACATTCTCTCACTTGAAGAAATGAAAATAAAACAGGTCATTCCACTCCCAAAACCAGTATCCTTTTCCCTGTACAATATACATCAAATTAGTATACTGTTCTGATGAAATATTTACATAGTTTCCTGAAAGTGAATTATAACAAAATAAGAAAGAGAAAAACACAAAAAACAAATGAGAAATAAAAACCATATAGCTGTAGCATGAAACAAAGAAAAAAATTAAATAAACAAAAATTACCAACACAGAACCAAAACTGAAGGGAAGGAAGTCCACAAATCACAGGATGTCATCAGCTATTTTTCAAAACATTAGTTCCTCCCAATCCATTACATAATGAAATCTTTAAAAAAAAAAAACAAGAAATAGCAGATCCAGTAAACAAATGTCAATGCAGCAACCTTGAAGATCGCAGGCTATTATCCTCAGCGAAGTTAAAAGCTGCGACTGAGGCAAGGTGAAACAGGTTAGGGCATGGAGTTTGTGAGAGAAACATGTCTTAAGTCAGGAGGCCAAGGGTATTGCAAGAAACAAATGGAAGACATTCACGTTAAAAGCGAAGACAGAAGATCACATATCCGGGTTACAGAGGAGACATGTCAAGTCGCACATCTGGGTTAGCTCCAAAGGCTTTTTTTCTCTCTCTCTCTTTTTTTGAGAAACTGTACATTTCCAATTCCCAGTTTGGTTAGGATAATAAAAATACTTGTGAAAAAAAAATTCCAGTACCTCAGGAATGATTGAACTCATGGTTTCTTTGTAATTTTTTATCACAGCACCAATGTCATCATTATCACATGTGGACAACCTGAAAATGTTGGAAAACAGGTCAACTCAGGGATTCTTTTATAGGATTTAGAAAGCCTCCGCTTCTCTAAGCTCCATCTTGACAATAACAGAAAATAATAATAAGGGAGGAACTTAAACAATAGGTAAATGAAAGGGAAATTAACCATTAGGGACAAAGCCCCTGAAAACAAATAACAAAAAGGGAAAAATGAGATGCGAACAAAAGGAATATGAAATGCATTCGTTTCATCAGGAAATACAAAAATGCTGCTGGAAATAATGATAACAGCATTCCCCACAGACTCCAACTTCCCCTGAAGACAGTCATTCGTTAGTCTGGAATTTCTGAAGTGTCATTCAGAAGGACTGTTATCAACAAAAAACATCAGAAGAATAGTTTATACATTCTTCTCAAGCATGAACTTTCCTTTCTTTTAATAAAGCCAATTTCAAAATATTCTGTAGAATGCATAATAGGAATAACTAGAAAGAATTCAATCAGAAAATAAACAGTAAAATAAAGGGGGGAGAAGAGAACATTCAAAGGCTATGAGGTGCCTCATTCTGAAACAGAAATTGCACTTATGAGTTTTCATAGACAAGACAGATTTCTAAGACTCTACTACAGAACGAAGTACTCACTTTCCCTTGGTCTTCCCCTTTCTAGTTGACCTCACAGCCTGGGAGCGGTTGAGGGTCGCGAGGGAAGCATCGATACTCAGGTCATCATCTATTGGCATGAGGGCGGCTTCTAATGCTGCTGCAACACGAGGGGCAACGACAGGCCCCTCCCAGTCTCTTGTTGTGCGAACTGGGTCCTCCACTACCATGATATTTTCTCCCTAAAAATATTTTTTTTTACCATTAGTGTTTCTAGAAATAATCAGAATAGACTGCTTTCATGATGCACTATAAAAAGAACCATAAACGTTATAAAACCTTACTGAAGTTAATCTCCCCATTGAGGGTACCTTAGCCCTTAGCTGAAACATGTTTTTTTTTTTAATATCCACTTTTCAAAGGTAATCGACTTCTGTTCTGCTTGATATTTCATATCATTTGAGGTCTATTCTATCTTCCTTCCCCTCTTTTATTGAAAATCCTCTATATACTCACTCTGACCTCCCTCTCAAAGGAACTTTTATCTAGATGTCCATCCTTTATCATCTCAAATGTACCAAGTTATTAATTTCTCTACCTATTTGACCTTACTTTCATTTGTATCTCAAAATCTTTAAAGTACAATACAATTAGCATCTTGCAAACTCACTTTGTATCTTGGGTTATGATCAAGCGAAGCCTGCATTTTGGCGTATTCGGAGGTAGGTCTTCTTGAGGCTGAGGATACTGGCCTCTTCAGAGTTCCTCCTGTCTGTCGAACCACCGGTCGCAGCTGAAAGTAATGAAAACTAATTTTAACCCCTTCAATCCTGATGACTTTACGGTCCCGTCATGGAAAAATCTGGGTCGAGGGCCAGGTGATGAGAACATGCCATCATCGGACAAAATGGCTGCGGGCCAGGTGACACGAGCTTACTGTCAATAGAAAAGGCCAGGGTGATGGAAACGCCACACCATGAGTGCAGAAACCTGGCCACTGTGACAGGCCGAGCCGATTGCATTAAGGAAAATTGAAACGTATGAAAAAAAACAAGGTATATGACACAAATAACCAAATGTTCCATATTTTTTCTTGCACTGAGTTCTCTACTACAGAGAGAGATGATATGGAGTCTGTGTAAGGAAAATAAGTTATTACCATCTGGATAAAGCAAATCAAAAGACAAATATGGACACTGGAAAATGGGAAAAAAAAAAAAAATTGAGTTTACACAAAATAACTTTGCAATGGGGAGGCACATTCTTGTCACCGCTCATGAGTGCTCACGTGCACCCGGCCTACATGCCGCACGACCCAGATACTGGCTATTTACATAACCGAGTACACCCGGCCTACATGCCGCACGACCCAGATACTGGCTATTTACATAACCGAGTGCCTATATTTTCGGCCCCATGATTTCCATGACAAACTGGATCCAACGGGTTAAAATGGATAAACACATCTCTGGCTATTTTTCATTTAAAGGATCACAAAAGTATGGCATAAATGTAGCCCAAAACAGTTATCTTTCCTTAATTTCAAATAACAGATGTGTCTTCTTTATAGACTTTAAAGGAAACATATTCCTATTCTGTTTTGTATGCTATAATCATAACATCACTTTCCAAAAAGATCTCAAAATTTGTTCAAAAATGCTTATTTCAAACACATGAGAAGAATGAAGTACAGTGAGTACATACGACATGTAACACCAGATCTTCCTTTTCTTTCCTAGGTATACTTACCTTCCAAACATCTTCATCCTCATCAAAATATGCACGAGACAGAATCTTGCGCTTTTCTTCAGGGGATATAAAGTTTTCAATTATAAGGGCTTTGAGTTTCAGTTCTCTGTAAGGGAGGAGAAAACACAGGGAATAAATAAAAGGATGTACTAATGAATACCACACACATTATTTTATATGATGACAACATTGTCAAATTCATAAATAAAACATTTAAAAAATGAAGCATCTGAAATGGGAAAGTTACAGCAATGTCTGCAAGAACAAGCTGCGTCCATTCTGACCTGGTAAGAACATCCTGTGTATGCTGAAGGTCCACACGATCTCTGCAAAACTCTTCATGCAGGTCTCCCATCTCTTGTTTTACTGATTGTAATTTGGCAAAGAGCTTTTTCAATTTACGTGTCTTTGCTTCCACCTCTTGCTGGAGTGAAGAAAAGGTGGAGGCAATTTCACATGAAGATTCCTCCTCCTTCTCCAGTAACTGCAGCATTTCTCTCTCTCTTCTCTGCAATACAATGTGCACATATCAATCAGTAACATTCATAAATAATCTCACTGTAACATTAACTACATCTTTTTATTCTTATTGTTTAACAACAAAACTTTTTCCACCCCAAAAAATACAAGTTATCAGCATTACTTTCTGTTCCAACAGTTCTTGCGTCCGTTGTTCAAGAGCTCTCTGCTGTTCATTAGTGTGGTCTATTATGTTCTTGCCTCCACAAAGTAGCTTGGATTCCATTGTCTTAATCCTGCCCATCAACTTCTCCTGTGCTTCTTTTGCAGCCACTATTTCTGCTTCCTTATTCTTCATGTCCATTAAATATTGCTGTTTCTCCTGGGAATTGTAAATATTAAAAAGTAAAAATACTACAGTAACAACACTAAAAATAATAATAATAAAATCCATTTTGCATTAATGTCCTTAAACACTCTTAATTCTTCAAAGGTAACCATGAAACACACAGCAATCACTGGAAAGCAAAAAATCAAAACTTACCTCCTCTATCATATGTTGGTCATTCTGTATGCGATTCCTCTCATCCTCCAGATCCTTCTCCTGTTGCAGGATGGTCTCCATATCCACACTACTTTCCTCCTCTTCCTCAGCTTCATCCACATCACCCTCTGCTTGTTTCTTTTTCTTTTTCTTTTTTCCTCCTCTTTGCGTTAATTGAGCCTGTTCAGGAAATTTGCATTTTGTTACAAAAAAAATCCTTGTGAAAAATATATAAAATGCTCATTCACCATTTCAGCCTATATATGTCAACAAGGAAAGCAAAACCCCTAGAACAAAAAATAAGAAGTAATAAGAACAGTCAAAATCTGGTACCTTCAATCGAGCAAGCTCCTGCTGATATTCTCTAAGAATGGCATCCTTGGGATCCTCATTGATCTTGGGCTTGTTCTTGATGTTCTTGGCCCGGTTGGCATAGCGGAGGGTTGTGATGGTCTCATCGTAGTTGTAACTGGCAGGACCAATGTTGGCTACCATGATAGTTTTAGAATTTCCTCCAAGAGAATCTATAAAGAATATAACAAAATTAGATAAAATCTGATATTTCCTTTACTATGAAGAGGTGTGAAGACACTTCAGTTATCTTAAAATAATCAGGCAAGGGCCTTAATCTAGGCATAACTCTTGGGGTTTGATAGCAGGCAGAAAGATCATATACCTTTTTTTCTAAGAATACCAGTATTAAAAACAAGCACACATACATAATAATTTTTAATAACTACTTCAATGAAATACAAGTGTCAATCTCCACCTGTTTATTCATTTCTAATTTATCTTTTACATAAAACCATTTGATTTCAAAATTCTATTATACAAATTTGTATGACAATGAATGAAACATACAAGAAAAGAGAAGTTTAGAATTGATCTAAGAATGATTTTCCCATTAAATTTTGTAATGTAGCTTTCACCTTGTACAAATTAATTAGTATTTCTTTTCATTGTTGGTAAATGTACTTCATTTAGTGCAGCATTACTTAAACTATTAACCCTATATTGACAGGAAAGTTTTTCAATAAAGCAATAAAACCTCTCCTTGTATAGTCCAGCACATACCAAATCAGAGGATTAAAAAACAAATGTACCACAGTATACACAAGAAACGTGAAAACATTAGAACAACAAAAACTAACCTTGCAGAAGGCGGGTAAGTTTGGAGTCTCTGTAAGGGATGTGAGTACTCTTGCCGTCCACTAAAGCTGAGATCACATTTCCCAGAGCTGAGAGGGACAAATTGATCTTCGTTGCCTCTTTCAACCTGTCTCCCTGTAAAGAGAAAACATGGGTTCTCTTATCTTCTTATTCCCTTTTTGCAATTGTGAGTGAGAAAAGTACAGGGAGAGAGAGGTGGATTACTTTTTGAGGTAGATGAAAAGGGATAAGGATAAGAATGAAAATAGTGATGAGGGTGAGGGTGAGGGTAGGGGAGGTGAGGTGAGGGTGAGGGTGAGGGTGAGGGTGAGGGTGAGGTGAGGGTGAGGTGAGAGTGAGAGTGAGAATGAGAGTGAGAGTGAGAGTAAGGGTGAGGATGAGAGTGAGAGTGAGAGTGAGAGTGAGGGTGAGGTGAGGGTGAGGTGAGAGAGTGAGGTTAGGGGTAAGGATAAGGATAAGGATGAGGGTGAGGTGAGAATGAGGTGATAGTGAGAATGAGAGTGAGGGTGAGAGTGAGGGTGAGGGTGAGGGTGAGGATAAGGATGAGGGTAAGGGTGAGAGTGAGTGAGGGGTAAAGATGAGGATAAGGATAAGGGATGAGGGTGGTGAGGAAGGATGAGGATGAGGATGAGGATGAGGATAAGGATGAGGGTGAGGGTGAGGATGAAGATGAGGTAGGGTGAGGGTGAGGATAAGGGTAAGGGTAAGGATAAGAATAAGAATAAGAATAAGGATAAGGATAAGGATAAGGATAAGGATAAGGATAAGGATAAGGATAAGGATAAGGATAAGGATAAGGATAAGGATAAGGATAAGGATGAGGGTGAGGGTGAGAATGAGGTTGATAGTGAGGGTGAGAGTGAGAATGGAAATGAGAATGAGAATGAGAATGAGAATGAGAATGAGAATGAGAATGAGAATGAGAATGAGAATGAGAATGATAATGATAATGATAATGATAATGATAATGATAATGAGAGTGAGGGTGAGGGTGAGGGTGAGGGTGAGGGTTGAGGAGGGTGAGGGTGAGGGTGAGGGTGAGAGTGAGGGTGAGGGAGAGAGTGAGGGTGAGGGTGAGGGAGAGAGTGAGAGTGAGAGTGAGTGAGAGTGAGAGTGAGAGTGAGAGTGAGAGTGAGAGTGAGAGTGAGGGTGAGGGTGAGGGTGAGGGTGAGATGAGGAGAGAGTGAGGGTGAGAGTGAGGGTGAGAGTGAGAGTGAGGGTGAGGGTGAGGGTGAGAGTGAGAGAGAGAGTGAGGGTGAGGGAGAGAGTGAGAGTGAGGTGAGGAGAGAGTGAGGGTGAGGTGAGGGAGTGAGTGAGAGTGAGAGTGAGATGAGAGTGAGGTGAGAGTGAGAGTGAGAGTGTGCGAGTGCGAGTGAGTGAGAGTGAGTGAGAGTGAGAGTGAGAGTGAGAGTGAGAGTGCGAGTGCGAGTGAGGGTGTGAGTGAGGGTGAGGGTGAGGGTGAGGGTGAGGTGAGGTGAGGGTGAGGTGAGAGTGAGGTGAGGGTGAGGGAGGGTGAGGGTGGGGTGAGGGTGAGAGTGAGAGTGAGAGTGAGAGTTGAGGGTGAGGGTGAGGGTGAGGGTCAGAGTAAGGGTGAGGGTGAGGGTGAGGATGAGGATGAGGATGAGGAT